AGGACCCCACAACAATAAACTGTGTGGGAGATAACATGTCCCTCATCAAAAGTCAAGTCTTCTCTATTAATGACCTTTGTCACACGGGATGCCAAGAAAACATGTGACTCACAAAGAATGGGGGAAAGGGAGGTAGTCACAAAGATAAGAGCCGTGATGGCTCCTGGCAGTGGCGCCTGGCGGACGTCAGGCAGCCCAAGAGGCACGCCACAGGGCAGGGAACACCTGCACCTCCCACAGGGGTGAGCTCCTTGCAGGGCCTCCGTGCACTCAGTCTGCCTGGGCTTCCAACTCCGTACACCAGCCTCACAGGGTGAGAGGAAAAGTGTAAGAAGTGAAAGGAACAGCATTCAGTCCAAGGAATGGCAAACAACATGGGAAAGAGGGCCTCGACTGGTCCTCTCCCTCTCCGGGCCTATTTCCCTGGGCAAGTTGTGCCTAAGCTGCGTCAATCACACAGGAGACACACTACCTCATGATGCACTGGGAATGTGATCTCGCTGAGGCATGAGAAATTCTAAGTGGGGCCTGACAGGGTCCATTTCTACTACGGCAGTGATTCACGGGAAGAGGGAATTCATGCACTCACTGGACCTGGAAGAATTCAACAAGGAAGCTTTGCAAGGAGAGAATGAGAGAAAGGAGAAATCACGAAATAATATGGGTGGTCCCACTAGCGATCCCACCCTGAGAATGAATTTGGCCAGGGGGTGCACTTGCTGGTCTGCCAGCACAGAATCATCCAGGGCTGAACGCACGAAGCTACGGGTCATGTACATCACAAGGGCAGTATGGACGGTCTGGGGACATTCTGCCTTCGTCATTTTTAACTCACATCCGCTCCCACGTGTAATGCGATGGCGCCAGAACAGGGGACTTTTAGAAACAGTCTGTCGGCCCTGGGGCCATGACTAAGCCTATTGAGGAATACCCACATCCAGAATTGGCAACCATCAGAAGTTTTACAGAGACTCTTCATGGCATACATAGGAAAGTGTTTCCATCGCGAGAGATGGAAAATAAACACAAAACAACTGCATATAATATGATAGGAGCCTGCCTATGATTTTTAAAATACATCTCTTCAAAGACTGGAAGGAAGTCTATCAAAATATTAACTTTGCAGGGCACCTGGGTGGCTCAGTTGGTTGGGCGTCTTGCCTTCAGCTCAGGTCATGGTGCCAGGGTCCTGGGATGGAGCCCCACGTTGGGCTCCCTGCTCTGCGGGGAAGCCTGCTTCGCCCTCTCCCTCTGCTGCTCCCCCCTGCTCGTGTTCTCGTGCACTCTGTCTCGCTCAGATGAATAAATTAAAAAAATCTTTAAAAAAAAATTACCTTTGCCTCTGAAGGTACTTTTACTGTTTTCTCATGGTTTCTTTATGTAATAGGGAGTAGGGAGGCAAATTAAACATTCTAACGTAACAGAATGCTTGCAAAGTTATAATGCAGAGATTTGTAAAGCAAACACTTCCCTTCTAATGCACTTGGTTGTGTAAATCCAGATTTTCCATACATAACATGTATTGAAAAATAGAGTACCAAGGAAATGAAGCAATATCTGTATTTGTTTCAATGACTAACAAGCAAAAATAAAACTTCAGCTGTGATGCCATGCTTTTTAGAAATCAGACATATAATAAGCCACAGATTTATAGGATGTGGTCTAATAAACCTAAGAAAAGTTTCATTTCCTCCTCACCAAAGTGGTTCACTCCCTGTCTGCGCAACTAGTTTTTTGCAAAGTTAGCAGATGTCTCTTTTTTTCCTTAAATGTGTAAGTTGAGAGATCAATAAGCACCAGCAATAATAACGTGCCCCCCGAATACACACACATACGCACACTCACTCACTCACCCCCATATCCCTAAATATGAAATAAAAACGGGCTCAATGCTAGCAAAAGGGTAGGTGGCCCAAAACATCAAAGGGACAGAGCTTGCCATCTTGCTAATCCCCAGCCACTGATCAGGAAAAATTTACAGAACCCCTGGAAAGGGGGAAGCAAGGAATGAGGGAAGGATTTAGACAAAGAACTTTTTAAAAGGTTGTTTTCAAGCATTTCCGTGAAAATGGTATTACCTCAGCAATTACAGGAAAAAACACTCTTTTCTTATCTGAATGCACTTATGCCGCAGGTCACACCCTATTATTGTCACTATTAAACATGTTAATAGCCCCAATGTAATGGCTCTGTGTGGCTAGCTTTAAAATGTACATGAATAAATAGCTAACTAGAAAAAAAAAGTGACTCATGCCTGCCCAGGTGGATATTGACTTTCTTAGTCATATTTACTCAATTGGTCTACCAGCCTTAATTCCCTGGAGGAGGGGGCTGAAGTGACAGAATCCAGCCAACTTGCAAGGAAAGAGAGGGAGGAGGGACAATGAAAGTTGAATCCAGCCGTGGGTAGAAAGTGTCCCGAATGCGGTACTGGTAAGGCAGAAACTTGACTTTGAGTGTCCTGAATCAAAAGCTTCCTCCCAGCCCCTGAGAAGGCAGGGTGTTGAACAGGACCCGACACATCTTCTTTAGCAAGTGGAGGATGGTTAGTATGGAAGACTCTGACCCAGGGGCTGTTGCCATGGTCTTCAGTAACAGCAGTTTTATGGCTACACCCCTGTGCTGTGTGATCCCAAGCAGCTGCTACCCCTCCCTGGGGCTCACTTGCAAAATGGGGTCACAGCATCTCCCTCCTGGGAGTGTGGTCAGGTTTTGAAGTTACTGTGAGCAAAGCACTTCCAGAAGTGCCTGGCCCATAGGAGGCGCTGTGTGAAATCTCACTCTGATCAGTATTTCCAGGCATCCTGGGAGGTGTCCCCAGGAAGCAGGCTGGGCAGGTATTCCACGCTCATCCCCCTTTTACAGACCCCGGGAGCACATCATGCAGGGGTGAAGCCCCTTGCCAACGGACGTGACGGAACGTTGGAATCAATCCTACTTCTGACTCCAATCTCATGTGGTTTCCACGATGCTACCCAGAGCCACGTCTCGCACACCCACGCTGCGTCCCACCACAATTCCTCAAGTAGAAAGTACTACCGATGATACATCACTAACTATTCCGTGAAAGTGTCTACGGCAAAGCAAGCTGTACAACTGAGCTCCCCGAGCAGTGGCTGGCCCATCACACCGACACACTCTCAGTGTGTGATTCCCCGGGAATCCTGCCGAGCGCTCATGCCAGACACCTGCCCCTTGGCCAAGCTCCACTCTGTACGCTTCGACTCACGAGATGCTCACAGCAGCCCACATGTGAGTCCCCTTCACCAGCAGGAAACTGAGGCACAGAGCAGCTGGGTAACTTGCCCAAGTTCCCACAGCCCATGAGCAGTGTCTGTGTGTCTGGCCTATTCACAGTTCAGGGACTCAGACCCAATCCTGGAAGCAGGGCATACTGGTGCTTCCTCAGAAGATGTTTCCATGTCCTGAGGGCAAAGCTGAGAAATGAACAGAGTCACCGGCGTCAAGGATCTAAGTGGCGCCTGCGGATCTCAAGTTATAAGGAAGAAACCCAGTCTTCCTGTTTTATTCTCCTCACACTCAAAATGGGTGCCTGGTTCTCCTTTATCTACCTCATAACTCTGACCAAAGATTAATGAGTCACCGTTCACCGGGCCCCAGTGGGGGGAGAGCTGTGTGCGGCATGGCCTTATCACCCGCGGCCAGAAGAACAGCTAGCTACCCTTGCTACAAGCTGGACCAGGGGGCGGCCGCTGAGAAGAGGCTCCTCTCAGGCCATGGCTGCTGAACAGACGGCCTCCCTGTGCTGTCACACCCAGACCCATCAAAGGACCCGGGCCTTCTGCATTCACGGGCTCCAGGAAATCTGAGTACAGGCACCATCACGGGAGGAGGAAGGGGGGTTTCCAAAAAGACCAGAAACATCTTCAGTTTTATTCACATCTGGCTGAAGAGGGGGCCATGACATGGGAAGATTTCCACAAGACACCAACACACGAAGTTACCAGAATTCAGACACGTCGTAGTGTGCAGAAGCGTCCTTGGTGTCACGGCAAGTGAGAAGAAAATACAAAACTACTGTAAGGTCCAATTCCAATTCTGTGAAATATTTCTAAAGTTTAGACACAGGAATGATGAGAAAGAAACGCATCCCAGTGTTAAGCCCGAATGCCCAACACAGCACCCAGCACATAGTAGGTAAACTATGAATGTTTTTGAAAGGCAGAAGTTTCACTAACTGGCTCTTAAATATTCATTTTTTCTTTAAAAAAAAAAAAACTAGCATTAATACTAAATCATTTGCCACTTAAGTTTAAAGAGTCCCTTCAAAATTTTTTTATCTGCATTGACTTTTGCTTTTCTGAGAACCGAAAGCATGTTCTACACGGTCTTTATTCTTTGGGACTGCTAATTTGAAGAGAACTGTCACTCCCAAGCACGGAGCAATGTGGGGTATTGACATCGTATTGAATTATTTAAAGGAAATTAACAATGCTTCCTGTCCTTGGACAGCCACGTCTGCGAGAAATGCTGTTCACAGCTGCCTCAGGAGGGTACCATTGCAGAGGACTGAGCATTTCTCAGCACCCTGAAGTCTCCAAGAGAATCTGTACGTTCTAAATAACTAAGAACAAAGGCAAAGTTGAGGTAATAACTTCTCTGTCCCCCTGGGAGCTGTGTGAAAGGTCCCAGGAAATCATTTCCTGGGGGTCAAGTTTAATGGGATGACATATTGCTCATCATTCTCACAGAAGCCACGCAGGACACTGGACCACGTGTAGCCTCTCCTGCGAGCCGGGCACCTGGGGTTCACAGGGGCACCACCCTCCACCCTCTCCTCATAAACTGGCATTCTTATGGCGATGATAAACCTATCAGTGATCACAATACCCGGACATGGCACCCGACACGACAGCTACCTGACGGGAATTCAGGGGCCATGGCGCATGGGCCCTGCCCTAGTGCGAGGTAAACTTTGGATGGGTGGTTTCATTTCAGAGCTAGCTCATCTCATACCGTCATTCTGCTCCGAGACCTACCTCCAAACACCAGGGCTCCCCAACCTTGTGTAAGGAGTGGCTCCTTTTCATGTCCCTGAAGACTTGAGTGCTGACAGTGAAGTCTGAGGGGGGGTAGAAGTGCTGACAGTCATGTCCCTGAGTGCAGCAAGGGAGGGGGCACTGCTGCCAGGAAGAAAGGGGAACAGAGTGAGGCTCGGGAGGGAGGGGGACGCAGTCACCAAGGCATTCACGGCCCCCAGCCTGACTTTCTTCCCTGAGCCCACACTTCTCTACAAACTCCAAGCAAGGAGGACTGTGGTTCCCGATGCGACCCCAGGACTCTTCCACCTCCCTGCCTTCCAGCCTGGGGCCCCCTCTAGCAACATCTTAAACACAGTCTCCTCTATGCAGCCTTTCTGCTGCATCCCTGCCCGCTGTCCCCACCTCTGCCTATCCTTCCCCCAGGGGACTCGGCCATTCCTTGCTCCGAGCCTCCACCGAGCCAGCTGGCCGGCATTCCCTCTCCGCCCCGTTCTCTCTCTCTCTCAACTTACCTTACTGAATCTTCTATTAATTTAAACCATGTGACACCGCTGGTATTTCTACCCTACAAAAATGCAATCACATATGGTTCCACCCAATACTAGAGCTATGTGGAGATCTGTCTAGTCACCCTCCCCTCTGCCGGTCTACAATTTTTCGGAGAGGGGCGACTGCACCTCCATCTCTGGACCCCTGGGAAGCATCGGGCAGCGCACACCTTGAGTGCTCAAGAAGCATGTGCCATACTGAATTTCAGCGCAGCTTGAGCTCTAGCACACCTGCAGCTTTGGTTCACTGCCTGCCTACTCTGTCTGGGGCTTTCGACGGGAACGTGCGTGGTGTTCTGCAGCTCCTCACAACCACCCTGTGAGGTAGGTATGTGCCCATTTTACAGAGGAGGAAACCGACTCAGAGACGTTAAGGAGCATGCCCAAGGTCACACAGCGAGTAAACGGCAGAAGGGGAATATGGACCAGGTCTCAGTCAACTCATGGTGCTGCTGTGTAGACTCGGATGCCCGTCCAGATGTTGACTACCATGCTATCAACAGGATGGGGAATTTAGGGGCATAAAGAGAGACCTGCGATCCAAGAGGGGCTATTTCACAACAAAGAAATATCATTTTAACTGTCTTTTAAAAAGAAAATGCCTGTGTCCTTTGTATGGATGTATGACTACTCTAGTTTTTAAAGGGTTTATATGAGGAAAAAATGCCATAAATAAATTCTTCACCCTTTTAAATCCCAAATAACAGAACTCAGGATTAAGAATATAAGATGGAGCACAAAACCCAATTATCTTATGTTCTGATATTCACCCAAGAGCAGCAGAATGAGCATAGTGGGTGCTCAAGACTCTGGGAGATAGGAAAGTGGTGGAAATAAAGGACAAATCCCACAAAACAGCAACCACCTTTCCAGAACAATTTACATGGTTACCATATTACCTGGTCCTCCTGTGGGAGGGGGTGAAAGGGGTATCCAGGTGGATTAAAACCGTTCAAAGGCCACGTGAACTCCCAAAGTGGGAAGGGGCCACGTGGCCAGCAAACTGGGGCAACCCCAGGGCCCTGGCTGCCTACAGCTGTCCCTGTGTCTGGACTTGGAAAAGCCACCATTGCCGGAAGCCAGAGGTCTGCCCCCCAGAAAGGGCAGCCCAAGCCCTCAGAGGAAGCACTGGTTGCCCATGGCTGGAGGTCTCTGGTCGGGGAAGCAGAACCTCCCACTCTGCGTTTCTCACCAGCGCTCATTTGTAAACAGGAATGTGAGTCATTAAGCAAGCAGGAGTCCATTTTCAAGATCGGCCCAGCTTTACAACTAAGGTAATCCTATTCTGCCTTGTCACAGTGGTGACTCACCTTACTGTCTCCCACCAGAGATGACATGGTTTAAACCTCCAATTTTTCCTGGAAGGAACCCAGCAATACAGGGGTTTAAATCCCAGTCTGTTTGCTTTGTTTTCTAACACGGTGCTGAGAGCCAAGAGGCAAGGCTCCCAAGGGCAAGCGCCCCAGAGGAGTTTGGAGAAGAAATGTATCTAAGGTTACCATAGACCACGGCATCTTTATTATCTTCCCATGGCCTTTCCTCGGGGTCTATACTCCCAGAGGGGCCTGTGGTTTATGAGGACAAGCTGTGCGCGCGCACACACACACACACACCCACCCCTCTGCCCAAGATCTAGATCTGGGAACCTCAGAGCCAAATCTGCACGTCACTTCAATTCTGTGAGAGCTCCCAGCTTTGAGATGTGTCAGATTAACCTGATCCTCATCATCTCTTCTGGGCCTGCCCTGCTTTTCTTCTTTTTTCTCATTTCTTTAAATGTTCATTTCCAATCTTTGTGCATAATGTGAAGTCTTCTAAACCACTTCAAATTTTGAAGGGTAAAAAAATGTCCTATAAACAAATTCAAATGTATCTACAAATACAAAATCAATCATTTTGTAATGGGAAAGAACTGTAGTGGAGTCTCCCCTAATAAATACAAAACTCTTCAACGGATCCATCCTAAAGATTAGAAAGCAGACATCCACTGAGTTTTCTGCTCAGCATCCATTCATGCTGTTTCCGGTAGTAGTACCTTGACTTGTTTAGGAGGTACCACCCCAACCCTAAAGCCATGTAGTTTACATGGAGTGGACCCCTCAGTCCAACTGTACTCAGCATATTACATCCCTTGACCACAACCACTGGTTCAGAATTATGGGGGAAGAGAAGATCTCTCTGGACTTCAGGCTACTTTCATGAGGGGACATCAACCCAGGGCCAAGGAGAGAAACGGTGTCCTGGTAAATGGGCCCCTGGATCCAGCCATGCCTGATGCCTGCCACCTGTGCACTTTTCAGTCAATACACTGTTTTTGCTCAGGCTAGTTTGGGTTGGGTTTGAGGAGAGACAGAGAGAGACAGAGAGAGAGAGAGATAGAGAGACATCCTGACTGGAGTAGGCTAGTCATCTAAGCCAGACTGACCTCAATAATTATCCATCCACGAATCAAGGGGTAATGTGGAAAGAACTAGAGACACTCCAGGAAGAGTTCATGAAGGCTTCATGAGGTTCATGCTCCTGGCATGATGAGGGGGTTGTTATAAGGCAGTACTTTGGAGTAGGCACCCGGTACTTCTTGAAAGAAGAAAGACTGTGGCTTGCGGCCACTGTCTGGGACAGGGAGAGGGACCCTGAGCAACAACACCTGTAGGAATCGACGTTCGGCCCTTCTGTTCCTCTAGCACCGCAGACGCCACTGGCCACACTGACCAACTTTAGGATGTGGTCTCCAGAAGGTAGGAGCCACGGGTACTGAACAGCACCAAATCTGCCTCCTAGCTTTCCCCAGCTACACCGCCTTTTTGTGACAGAGCGCTTGGAAAGATGCTTTTCACCTAGGGAAAGGGAAGGTCCGAAGCTGAGGCATGTCAAGACAGAAAGCAGACAGAGCACGTGGCGGCTTTCATTTTCACCGGTGACTCAGCACCTGACGACACAGAATGCTGACCGGTCCTGGGCATGGCCACACGGATCAAGAATCAGGATGTGTCACCAAAAAAGTTGCGGCAATGTTTGTGTACTCTACCATTTTGTTTCTTTCTGAGTTTATAGCCCCCCTCAACAAGTGGCTGGGCAGTATTCAAATATTAAATGCAGTAGAATGGAACCCAATGAGCTAGAAAGTACAATTTGCTTCGCCAGGAAAAATAAGAGAAAGGAGTATAGAAGGAGGAGCTGAACACATTGAAGAAACAAAAACCCTAAAAAATACTAAAGCCTCCAGAGATAAAGATTGGGTATGAAAAAATGTTATTCAGACCCCACTTGGCTAACAGCTATTGGCTGTTGGGAGAATTCTGAGCCCACCTCTTAGAAAGAAAAAGAAGTTTTAAATTTTGTCTCAGAAAAGTCTGTTGTGATGGTTAATTTTATGTGTCAACCTGATTGTGCCATGGGGTGCCCAGATATTTGGTGAAACGTTAATTCTGAGTGTTTCTGTATTTTTGGACAAGTTCAACATTAAAACTGACAGACTAGCGGTACCTGGGTGGCTCGGTCGGTTAAGCATCCGACTTTTTTTTTTTTTTTAAAGATTTTATTTATTTATTCATGAGAGACAGAGAGAGAAGCAGAGGCAGAGGGAGAAGCAGGCTCCCCACAGAGCAGGGAGCCCGATGCGGGACTCAATCCCAGGACCCGGGGATCATGACCTGAGCCAAAGGCAGACGCTTAACCGACTGAGCCACCCAGGCGTCCCAGCATCCGACTCCTGATCTCGGCTCAGGTCATGATCTCAGCCTGGTGGGATCAAGCCCCATGTCAGGCTCCATGCTGAGTGTGGAGCCTGCTTGAGATTCTCTCTCTCTCTCTCTCTCTCCCCTTCTCCCTCTGCTCCTCCCCCTCCCTCTCTAGAAAACAAACAAAAATAAAAACAAAACCAAAAAAACCTGGCAGACTAAATAAAACTGATGCCCTCTCTCATGTAGGTGGGCCTCATCCAATCCGCTGAAGGCAGATCCTCCCCCAAAAGGAGGGACTCCTCCTCCTGCCTGGCTGCCTTCAAGTGGAGCACTGGTTCTTCCATGCCTTCAAACTGCAGCCTTGGCTCTTCCAGGGTCTCAAGCCTGGCAGTCTTTGGACATGAACTCCACCATCAGCTTTCTTGGTTCCCAGGCCTTCAAACACGGACTGAACTACATCACAACCTCTCTCACATCTCTAGCTTGCCTACCGCAGATCTTGGGACTTGCCTGTCTTCAACATGGCGTGAGCCAATTCCTCACAGTATATCTCGTTAGACACGTATACACACACACACACACACACACACCATTGATTCTGTTTCTCTGGAAAACCCTAATATACTTGGGTTGTTGTTTTTTATGTGTTTTCTCCCCCAAGCAAGAGGGAAAGGATTATTTGTGGGTCTCTAAAAGAAATCAGAATTGTGAAATGAACCGGGTCTTATAAATCGTGTAATCAAATTCTTTATCATTTTTATTTTAAATCTCTAGGTCTAGACATAAAAGCACCTACCCAGGATTACACAGAAAAGAACAAAGCAAAACCCAGACTTTAAAAACAAGGAGTGTTCTATGTATAACATGGAAGAATTTTATTTTGAAACTACAACATCTTTGGAAGAATAAG